TGTGTTTGTGAGACGCGCGCGTATTCCTAGCGCTGTTCTGATTAGTCAGTTGTTAAGTTTGATTGACACTCCGGAAAGGTCTATTATCACACTCTTACTTATGAAACAGGTAATAATAATAGGTGCCGACAAATATTTTATGGAAATAAATATACAGTTTTTACTTTGGATCTGTTGTTTTTGTGTTTTTTTGTTTTTTTTCATAATATAAATTAAACTCTTTTTGGGGGGGTGGGGTGGGGGGCTAAATTGATGACTTTTTGTTTTTTCTAAGCTTTTTGTAAAATAAATGCTAAACTTGAGAGGTTCCACAGTACCGGTACCTTGGCCAATTGTATTTCTTCCTAATGAATCGTGTACACTAGTTCGATAGTTTATTATGCCGATTCCAATTTGAACTCTGCCTATGATACGATATTAGCCGACTTATTCCTCTAATCGGCAAGCTTTCCCAACACATTAAACCAAATATTCTCCGCCAAAATTATTTTTACTACTAATTATGATTAGGAGCTATCGAAATGGGCTACAATCGAATTCTATTTTGGGTAATTACATCAAAATAGCGGTCAGCCGTGTGTTTCGTCAAATTAAATGCGTTACTACCCTTTAAATTTCCATTAAGCCGATGTCGCTCTTATGACAATTTATTTTAAACCCAAATGAACATCGATGTATCATAGCTATTCTGTTGTTTTCATTGGTTCAATAAGCTATAATTGGTGAGTGTCACAATTGCTTTGGTTAATTCATAGGCTATACTAAGGTTTAATTTATTGCAAAATATAAAATAAACAAATTTACATTTATTTGTTGTTAATTAAAGCTTGCTTTTTTTCTTAAATTCCTTTTTCGATTGCTGTGCCATCCATAGCAGTTTACTTTGTTAGACTTGTAAATCTGGTGTTATTTGATGACTCAGTAAGCTTGATTGGACGCAGAATAAAGATTTTAAACATTTTCATGTAAAAAGTGACTAGTGAAAGTGAATCATGCTGATTCGAAATTATAAAACAAATAGTAATTTTTTTTTTCTCATCTTCGTCTAAATAGGGCTAAACGAATCATAAACGCCATTGAGTTGGAGAGAACGCGAGAAGATCGATAAACAACTCAATTAAGGAAATTGTTTTACACATGTTATCCGATGGCAGTCTTTGCAATTAGCTAATCTAATTAATATAAACATTTAATCATCCCTTTACCATTCCTCCTGATATGAACAATACTAAGATTTCAGATACCGAATCTAAATTGATAACGTTTACGTGGAGGCGCTTGCGCACTAATTCGCACTGTGTGAAACTTATACTATTATAGTACCAGTATAATTTAGACTTAAGCATAAGTATCGTGTTCTGAGTAAGATAAATGAATGTTCAAGTTGAAAGTAAGTTGCTAACTCGATATGATTAATCAATAGACGCTCGAATCTATGCGTGTTAATCACTACAAATGACTAGAGGCATTTGGCGACACTTTATATTAATTAATAACTGCAACTCCCCTCTCTCCCATGATCGAATTAATGCTCATTTGTTCGCAGCGATAATCCCTATCTGGGAAATTGTTCAAAGGTATCCAAATTTGAGAAACTTAGATTACAATTTTGAAGTCATTCTGCAAACTTTTATGAAATTAAAATGTATGTTAATTTGATTTCTTATCATTACGTAGGCTAATATAGGTCTACATATGTTATAGTTGCATATATCATTCAATTTTGTATTATTAATATTAATATTTATTAGCAATCATTATTATTACTGTATTAATATTTTTTAATCTATTGTTACCATTAATTGTTTGTATCAGTAATAGTAATAATAATAATAATAATCAAACACTTATAATAGATTATTAATTTTATAGTCATAATCATCATCGTTGTCGTCATTATTATTATTATTATTATTATTATTAATACTATATTATTATTATTATTATTATTATTATTATTATTATTATTAGACCTATTAACATGCAGATGTAGGCCTAGTTCCTTCGTGACCAACGCTAATTTTTCGTCTTGCAATGTCTACAAAGGGCTGTTCCTCCTTGACTCTTTCTTTAATTCACCGATTAATTAAACCCCAAATAGTGATTATCTATAAAACCAAGCACTTTACATACAATCCCCGACAGCGTAAGAAACTAATTCTCATGACGTGTTTAAGACAAATTGACATGAGTTTGTCATAGGCATCACTGCTAATAAACCTGTCAAAAACCTAAGCTTTGATTACATTGTGATTTACCTCACGGGCCGATGTGATAATTACCCGTGATTTACTAATCACATTCTAGTCTGTCTAGGCTTGTAAACAACCCAATCTGTGTACTAGTTAATCATGGCTAAAGCATTCCTCAAAATCCATTATTGAAAAATTCTAATTGATAAATTGCATGTGATTAGTGTTAGAATAGCTATCAGTCATTTCGTGTTTTTATCTTGTCAACGAGAGTTTCGTTCTCACATATGACGTTTTTTTTTTTATCACGATTAAGATAAGGGTATGTTAATTAATTGTTGATAGCAATTAAAGTAATTTGGTTACGGCTTAGTTTTCTTTGTCCGAACTGCGATCTTTATCAGCTGACGATATGGTTTTTGGATGGCATTTCCTAGATTACCCATCATGAATCTATCTGATAGATCTATTTGCTAGTGTTGTCTCTTCCAAGCGTTCTGATGGTACATATTACATTGAAAGTGAGTCGGTATATAAGGCATTGAAAATTGTAACAAAAGACCATACATACACGCTTTGTGTTTGAGCATGTACAGGATTATTTCTTTTAAAATAACAGTGTTTGAAAATGTATCATTATCTATTAATGTTCACGCTAGACCATGTGACCAACCGACATTTTTTTAGTGCAGCCTGCCGGTATTATTTTTCTTCTATAGAAACGGCCACTGTTTAATGAGGAGTTTCTAATAAAAAGTATTCTACGGTGTGTTCGTTTTTTTTTTTTTTTTTTTTTTTTTTTTTTTTTTTTTTTTTATTATATAAATAGGCCTCGCCGAAAATGCAAACAGATTTTGTTCATTGTTCAACTGAGGAAGTCATAACATAACAATGTTTTCCAAAGAAAGCAAAATTGGAAACAATTTAAAAATAGGCCTAGTGTTCAATTTGCATTCGATTTTGTAACCACAGCGAAATTGTTTTCAAAGTTCCTGATCAAATACATATGAACATTTTTATTCATTTTCTTGTGGGCCAATTCCAAAAAAAAGTAGGGGCCCCAGGCCGGGAGTTGCCCTTGAATCCACCAATAACGTGTAAAATAAGAATTGCACTCGAAATCAAATGCGTACACTACACACTTTTATTAAGGCATCGAAAACAGTTCTACAAATGTATCCAAAATCAAACCCAAGATATTTTTACTGAATTATTTGAACCGCGATTAATAACAAAAATTGTATTTTGTCAGAAGCCAGAAATTGATCCGAGTTCATATGTAAGCTTAAAAATATATTCGGGTGTTTACAAAACTGCATAACTAGAGAGAAACATATATTAACTCTGGTTGTACAGTACAATAACTGTCTCTTATACACATCTAGATGTGTATAAGAGACAGATATATATATATATATATTCATTCTTAGGAAGATTAAGATTCTATTTTGATAGAAAAAATGATTTTCTTTTTATTTTCTAACGCAGTGCGCTTCGTTAGGCCGTGGTTATGGGAAATAATTCATTTCCCCATGAAATGAGCATCTAGTTGATGTTGGTGTAACCTAAAGTTAAGCACGTGTTCCTTTAATCATTTAGCCTGTCCTCATTTCTAAAGATAATACCCAAGTGGCGAAATACAATTATTAAACTTATAAACGCATTATAGCTTTTAGATGCTTCATTAGGCGGTCTTGTTCAGTGTTTTGTTTGTAAACAGTGATTGAAATCGGCGAAGCAATATAAAACCAGTGTTTAGGCTCACGCTACAGGCAATTCCAATGATTCAATTCGCGCGACTCGACAACGAGTTTAGCATTAAACTCAAATCAAAATTCACAACCCATCGTGTGAGACGATATTTTAGCTTGGGGGTGTTCAGTCTGCCCATATTTTTATTGACTAATAATTCAATGGATTAGTTAAATCCAAGAAAGCATGGATTTTAATTACTTGCGATAATTTAAAAAATTCTAAACTTAATCGTCGTTTTAGTTTAAGAGTACTGGACCGTCTCAAAAGTCAACTAGGAATCATTATATTCGCCTTTGTCTTCTTTTTTTAAATTGACAGTTTCACTGATTGGCGTTTGTGGTTTCTATCCTTCTCTCATGTGTCTTAAGAGATTACAGATTTGAAGTTAATCATCTCTCTAGATTTCGAAATTAACTTCCGCCATTGTTCCATATTCGGCCTAATTTTTCTTTGTCATCTTTATTATCGGCAGTTTAATTCATGAGATTGGCATTTTTTCCTCTAATATGAGACACGTACTGTGCATATATAATTGCATTGTTTTGTAATTAATATAATTTTACTAAAGGCTTAGGCCTATTTGAATAAATATAAACAATCCTGAATCCTGAATATCTCATTTCATTGTAACACCGTTCTCGAGACACTGATAGGCCTACTAAAATTGTGTTTGACTTATTTTAATGATCTTTGTAAAGAGTGTTAATTAACAATCTAAATGTTAGAAAGTGTCACAATAGGCCTAAATCGTAAATCGTAGGCCTAAATTAATATTTAGCGATCGAAGTCTATGCGCATTTAGAATTAAGATTAACGAGCGTCTTTTAAATCAGCGAAGGCTGTATCAATGTTAATACCTCATGGGATTGTTAATTACTTAGATACCTTTAAACGAGAAATAATGTTTTATTGAGTTTTGAAGGTTTTTTTTAAAAAAAAAAAAAAACCCTACAAAACTATTTTAACAAATACTCATCGGTTATAAGAAAATTATTTTAAACTAATTACTACAATAACTATGACTTAATCAGTGTATTTACACTTTCTTAATAGGAAATTCGCAGCACACACTTCTTGGCAAGTCTCGACGCCCCCGGACAGCTTTCACTAGTCAGCAACTTCTCGCACTGGAAAACCAATTCAAGAAAAACAAATACTTGTCACGACCAAAGAGATTCGAAGTGGCAACGTCACTGATGCTCACAGAAACTCAGGTTGGTACCGTAATATCACGCACGCGCATTGATTTAAATAATAATAATAATAATAATAATAATAATAATAATAATAATAATAATTATAATAATAATAATAATAATTATAATAATAATAATAATAATAATAATAATAATAATAATAATAATAATAATAATAATAATAATAATAATAATAATAATAATAATAATAATGATAATGGTGGTGATGATGATGATGTTGATGATGATGATGATGATGATGGTGATGACGATGATCATACAGTACAATAAAGTAATAATGATAATGATAGCGGTAGTAGTAATAATAATATTACAATGATGATAATAATAATAATCGTAATAAAGAAATTATGGTTTTTTATATAAAAGTTCATAATGATTACATATTATGATATAATTTTTAAATGTTCCAAAAAGTGCCCTGCCGCTTTGATAACAAATATTCTTTGCATGCTTATTTTAGCACTAATTTGAGAAACAGATTAATAAGCCTAGGCAAAAAATAATACCATGTATTGTGGATAGTCTCATAGTTGACTTTCTGCAACGTATTATTTACTTAGCTAACATTTCAGTGATCACAAGCCAAAAAAATAATAATTTCAATTATAACTAGACTTACTATGTCTGTTTGAACAACAGAACATAGGGCTTTTCCCCATTGCTTTAATAAGAAATGAAGTTGAAATTGCAACAAAAAGAAAAGTCGTTGAAAGGTATAAAGTAAAAAACAAAAAAACAAGAAACAATATAATTTTAATGAGTGGAAAAAATAAAGCGGGAAAAAAAAACAAAAACCAAGTTCACTGTGACGTCATTATTGAGACTTGAACTACGGACCTATTAATAAGATTGGTAATAGAATAAGAATAGTAATGGTAATAGCGAGGTACATCGTAACTCATAACCATTGCGCGCCATATGAGCCGACCTTGAATAGGAAAGTGCATTTTCAGTTCATAGCGATTCAATGACTGAAAGCAAAATTGTTCATGCATATCACGGTAGGTTTGAGTTTAACCTAGCTGTAACTGATTTAAGCGCTTTAGAAAACGCAAATTGCGTTTAAATAATTTAATAAACTGTCAACAAAAAATCTTTAAATGGTCCTCATTTCCACACCCTACTGCGAATCGTCACCAAAATTAGATCATTTCTTCATTTCACCAAGAAAAACTATTCTGCAGAGTGCCATTTTTATCCATCTATAACTGGGACGTAAGCAATTTAAATGACCCTCAAATTTACATCCTAACCTGGATCGTCCCTTACACATGATAATGTCTTCCTTAACGTGGGTTAAACTTTCCCGAAAGTTTCATTCGGATCAGTTGACCCGTTTCTGAAATATCTGGTCTGGGACGTTTTCATTTAAATGGTCCCCATATTCACGCCCTATGCCGGATCATCACAAAAATTCAGTCATTTCTTTACTGGACCTTTACAAACTATTATAGAAAGTTTCATTTACACCCATTGACAATTTTTTTTATAGATATTTACGTCTGAGATCTCAAAAATTGTAAATGACCCTCCGATTTATACCCGTGCCTGATTCGTCGCCAACACATAATACTATCTTCCTTGTACCTTGGTTAAACTTTTTCCGAATGTTTCATTCAGATCAGTTGATCCGGTTTCGATATGTGGTCTGGGACGTTTTCCTTTCAATGGTCCTCAGATCTACACCCTACACCGGATCGTCACAAAAATTTAATCATTTCTTTACTCGAGCTTGACAAACTGTTATACAAGGTATATATTTTTAATGAGATATTTAGGTCTGGGTCCTCAAAAATTGAAGATCCTCAAATTTACACCCCTCACTGGATCGTCACTAACACCTAGGGGGTCTACACATTTCTTCATTGTAAATTGATTAAACTATGCCGTAAGTTTTATTCAGATCAACTGACGCGGTTTTTGAAATATCCGTTGTATACTGACTTTAAACCACTTTAATTGGTCCTCACACGCACACCCCACCATAGATTGACATTAAATATTAAGAGGCACATCCTTGATATATGGCCTATGCTTCGGCAAAGCAAAGAAAAATTATAAGCATGGGAAGTGACCAAAGTGACAGCCAGAAAAAAAAACAGTGCAAAAAGATAGGGAAAATATACGGTATGTAAGAAAAAAGAAAAAGGGGGAAAAAATCGGAACAAAAACAATGGCTTTTCCCAGTAATGCTGGGAAAAGCCAAAAAAATACTAAGCATATCAACAGAACATTTTTTTTTAAATAATGGAGCAGATTACATTTGTTATTGTTGAGCTTATTATCAATGTTTTCATCATCATCATCTAATTTCTCTACTATTTTACTTTTTAGGTGAAAATTTGGTTCCAAAATCGACGAATGAAATGGAAGAGAAGCAAAAAGGTGAACGCCACCCCAGATGGCCAAATTGCAAAGGATGAACTCTTAGAAGGTGACGTCATAGAGGACAGTTCATCTGAAGGAGACGCTGAGATCGGAGACGAGCATACAGAGCAATACGATATTGACAAATCTAGCCTGTGTTACGGAGTAAAGGGGATAAGCGCAGAGAAAATGGCAATAGACGCATTTATTGCAGGGAGATGTCCGACTAGCACCGACAGAGAACTGATTACGTCATTAGAAACTGTCCGATAATGATCAATAGCCAATTTTATAATGTTTCTAATCGATTATTTAAAATTGAATACCGTCGGTACCATTATCATTTCGAAATTATACCATTATCATTTATAATGAACATTTAACGCTAAGCTCAGTGTTTTATAGGCCTATTGATTATCGACTATTGGTATCAATATATCGATCGGTTGCTCAATAGGTTTCTGTCAGTGAACCAAATATTGATAATTTTGTACCGACTGTTGAATCGGTGTTTTATATCAATGAATCAACTTCTGAATATATCAATGAACTATTTTGTTTTATGTACTTTGTGAGCTTATTATCAATAATTAATTAAACAGCAAAATGTACAAATTGATTAGAGAATATCATTATTATTCTTATTTCAGCATTATAAATGCATTTTATTAGTATATGCTATGACTTATTTAATTCAATTTTGTTTATTCCAGATAATGCAATAACGAACATTTAATAATTTACTACATTCCAAATAAATTGATTTCAATTTGGTTTTGACTATTTTTTTTTTCAAAATCTTAGCCTATGAGGCTTCTAAATGAAATTTATTCCCAGTCGCTCAGTCGACCGTGTGATTTCATCAAATGATACATTCCGTTTGTTTTGTAAATGCAATAAAACACCAAATGATTTCAAATAGAGAGCCATATTTTTTGTTGAAAATTACAATCTATCAGATTGTATAGGACTCCTCGTCGTTATTGTTGATTCCATTACAGTTGCAATTTTAAAAATAATTATAGTATTAATGATAATAATTATAACGTAGCAATCTTAATCAAAAGTGGCATTTGGTTTGGAATTTGTAAATACGTTATTTATTTTACGGTGCCAGTTGTTTGCTAAACTATAAAACCAAAGATTGATTAAATAATACCAAAACTAAACTATAACGCCAAAGATGACATATATCACTTGACCTAAACTTATAATAATTTACTGCCTCCAACAACCATGAAACATGTTCAATCAGTTGATAACGACCAAAATGATTTAATATATCTCTACTTCCTTAATAAGCACATGCATATTGTCTCTCAAATGATAAATTGTTTATTTTCTTTGATGGCATTTGTGACTTCGTGACTTCATTGATAACTAAGTGAGTTTTTACAGACAGCCTGTCTGCGTAAATAAACTTTAAAACTATACAGAATTGAATACTGTATTTGAATTGCTTAATTTACATGTTTAATTAGTTTTCAATCAAAATTTACCGGAATATTTCTTCTCATCAACTTTACAGATAAATTATCATTTCCATATTTTTTGCATTATTATACCCTTTTATTTTCGTGATTTTTATGATTTTTATAGTGAAATCATGGAAACTTAACTGATTTAATCTTTTATAATCGAATATTTTTTTTATTATTATTTTTAAAAATATCTCCAGATTTGTACTACAGAAAATTAGGCCCACTGATATACATTTTTAATGAAATTGTGCATTTTCTGTACGAGCTTGCCAAATATGTACATAAGGTGTATATATTATACAGTTATATAATGTCAGAAATTGTTAAAATGGTGCCAAGATTGATCAATGATGTTATTGTAATATATTGTAATTGTTTAATTTAATTATTTTGTATTTTTGTTTTCTAAAATATTCAATAAACTATTGTTAAACTTGATTCGTGTTGTTGTGTCATTGTTGTGCAGTTGTCTATTCGCTTTGTTTCAACTAACGACATAAACTGTCAGGGCAGGCTTTTGCCTCTTCTTTAACGTTTAAGATATATAATTAAACACTCCTAAGCTGCCCACACTTATTAGGTACAAATACACAGTGAGTAGTCAGTACAAGAATTAGATTTATGCTAAGAGATAAGGCGAATATACGTTGCTATGGTTCCTACCATTGGTTAGCTATGGTGTTAATATTGCTCAGTTGTTACACTATAGACCAGGATGTGTTTTTTTTTTGTGTCTACATGAAGTTACCAATTCATTTCTGTTATTTAATGTTGGTTTACATTACAAATTATGAAATACTTTTCCATCAAGCATAGATTACACTTTTTTGGGCCGGAGATTATGGCTTGCATTTGACCATTTTAACGAGTACCGGTACAGGATAGAGTTATCCTTAAGGGTCCATTGACTAAGAGTTGTAGCATTTTTTGGGGTCTTGTTCCTGAAGTTACTGTTATCATCTGTTTTGTCCGTTGTATCTGGTTTTTAATGTGTGCTCTGTTAGTCCAATCTACGTTTCTTGGGTTTGGTCGCCATATCTGGTAACTGTCGCTTGGTATATAACTTCTATGGTTAAGCAGTTTCCTTCTAATGGGCAAGTTACGTTTCTCCTGCAATTACAATTAGTTTGTACGGTCGAATCTGTTGTTTCCTTTTTCAGCAGCGTCTTGTTGTGGCTTGAAATTATCTGTTTCATATAAGGCATACAACTGTAGCTTAATTTCAAAGAGTTCCGGTTAAATATTGTTCTGAGTGGGTGGTTTCTGTCTCTTAATATATAATATAAATATATATATATATATATACTCGAGTGTATTCTTTTTTTCTTAGCAAATGTGCAGTGTGCGTTGGCACATTGGGGAGCAACTTTGGAAGGGGATGAGAGTGTGTTCCTCTTAACACACCTTCTTAGGTATGCCACCTCTATGTGTACCGACACATCCTTCCTTAAGGTATAATACATAGGGCAGTTTCTGCACAAAATCAAAGATTAGATGACGATGATGACGACGATGATGATGATGATGATGATGATGATGACATTCGATAACAAAAATGAAAGTAGTAATCATCATCCATGAAATTGGCGTGTATGTATAGGATTTCACTGATTATTATTGCTTGATATAACTCATCTAGTACACTATTTTATTTTGACGCAATTATTTCTGTTATAAGTCGCCACAGTATATGTTGTTTAAGCTTAGGAGTAGACTCGATTAGCATAAGTGCTGTTTTCTAGCTCCAGTTACTTATTTGCTAATATCATTTTTTGCAACCAATAATTGAGCTATTGCTCTTATTAAAAAAAGTGGGCAATTAAAGAAAAGAAAGGAAAAGAAAGAAACACAGAATAGATAACGAGATAAATATATGGATCGTATGTGAAAATGTAGGAAATACACAAAAACATGTTTATTCCCATTATTTACCCGGGGTAGGTAAAATAGCAAATAATGTTTCCATTGAATCATCTACGATGCACATTATATGTTTAAGGTATTTTTACCTTCAAATATTTTCAATATCGAATATACGCCTAAATATGATTAAAGCACCATTTTAAAGATTGGTACTGTATAACATTTATTTGTATTATTTAATATGTATAATTGTTTCAGTATTCAATTTAAATTGTGAAATTTGTTATGTATTTGTAGTTATATGAGGTCATGGTAGAAGCGTCCTCGTCGCGGCCCTGGGTGTCTGTGTTCACGATAAGAAATATAAGAAGATTTATATGCTTGTTGTCTCCTCCCCTTGGTGGGGCTATTTTTAATAGATTGAATTGATTTGAATTAAGTACCGGTACTTACCGAAAACAAATTTCCACCGATAGGCATAAAGGTACAAATATTGCAACAAGAATTAATGCATTGATTACTATTAGGCCTACACTATATTATTTTTGTGCCTTTTTTATTTAAGGTTCTACACTGAATACGGAACCCACATGTATGTGTCCGTTAAGTTTGACGACAAGGTCTTTTTTTTTTTCTTTTTCGTTTTGCAGGAAGAAATATTCATCCTTTGTTAGCAAATAATTGACAAAAAGGAAAGAAAATAAAAACACCCCAATCAATAAAACATAATATAACTGTATCAATGATAGTTCTATAATATCAATAAACCATATGTTAAGTAATAACAAACATATTCACATTAAAGATATGATATTTACATGATCTTGGTTATGTGTGGTAGGTCTATATCTAACAAAGAAATAAGCATGAATAGTTGCTGAAAAATTACACTTAATGGACTTCGTAAAAATCTTGTCTTTCCTGGAGGCGCTGTTGTGTATTATTAAGGACATGATGAAAAGAATAATCAATCTTAAAACGCCATGAATTACGTTTAGGAATTATTAAGTTAAATAGAACGTGTTAAGATGATATCAACACCGTATTGAGGCGAATCACTGCCTATCTCGTATGCCTAATAACTCGCATAATTTAATCATAAATGTAAAAAGCTATTTTCCGTAATTGCTAGCGAAAAGAGAGTAGATACCCGGTGTAATAACATAACTGACTGGTTTGATAACAGGCTAAATCAAATTAAGGTTTGTAAGACTATACCTTGTAAATTGGCAGCGAGACGAGGTTTAATTCGTCGCAAAGGGAGACACGGGACTGTTATTGGCGTTTCCTACTCTTCCCATTTTAAACGTACCATACTTTGTGTTAAAAGCTGCCTGATCTATTGTTGATATAAAGCCAATCCAGACAGTGTATAAACGTAGGTGTTAAAACGTTAAAAGGACAGAAAAAAGGGATGAACCTATTTCCTATTAGTTTTAAGAAAGTTAATGTTAGTAATAAACTAATACATTGCGATGAGTAGTTAACTAAACACAATCAAAATAAACATTGCAGCCCAACATTTTGATAATGAAACGCGTTAGACAAATACATGCAGAACGCGTTGTACAAATAATAAACTTCAGTGTCCTTTGATGGTTCACGTTTAAGGGGACTTATGAATACGTTTGACTGTTGGCTTAAGAAAACCAATTGATTATGCAGTTAGTGGATTATAAACGTTGCTCCGTTCTATACCAATAAGCACGATTAGGGTTTTCATAAGCTGAATGGGTTTTGCTAAACAGTTTGCAAACAATCTGCGTTTCAGCAAACATCATTCGAAATTAAGTAAAACTTAATATATGCTTTCAGATACACATCAATTAATCGTCAATAAAGGAACAGATATTGCAATAATCGCTTATAAAGGTGGAAATCAGTGACTGGGCTTGATTTGTATATTTTAGCTTGTCACAGTTTTTGTAACGGTCTGTATGAGATTCTGTGGTTATTCTTCAGTGAGACTTGTCATTATAAGTACGACAGCCATTGTTAACTATCTTATTGTTATCTTAATCAAATGTTCATAATAATTGTCAATCATCATCATCAAGTCATCAGTAACGCCATTATCATCATCTTCATTATCATTAACAGGATCATCATTAATAGTATTATCATCATTGCCATCATCATTGTCATCAAATTATATAACAGGCCTATATATATAACTTACTCTTTTTCTTTATATAAACCATAGCAGTGAAAAAGTTAAGGTCTTACATCGAACATTTTTCAATCACTATGCTGCTGGAGGAAAAAAAACATAAAAATAAAACATCATTACAATTAGGCCTAAGATTAAAGACATAATTATTAATATTTAAAAATTTACATAACAAAATATGTTATTTAAAAACATTTAAATTATTCACAAGAAGTATGAGAAGTATGCCCAGAGTTATGTAACGAGTCAAATAGTATCAGATATATGCCACGAAAATTATTTAAAAACTAGCGAGCATTCTAGAATAAGTCTTTATCACTAGACAGCTATACAAATATATATATATATACATATGTATATATATACATATATATATAAACTCTTGAGAGTTTTCGATGCAGCTTTTAAGTTATATATATATATATATATATATATATATATATATATAATTAATCCTCTCTTCCATGTTATTTATTTACTGTAACAGCCATGTTGTTACATGAATTATTATGTACTTCTTTGCCCATAACACTAATTCCATATAAATTGACAGATGATATGCAATGCGACAAAAATGCTCCACCACCTTATTTGATTAGTGATATTAGTGATATTTACATCAAAGAGTCCGGCATCTGACAAAGTGCATTTGGATAAGTGGTTATAATGAAATATCTGAATCAAATTATATGTCGTTTGCCTCTGAGAAACGAATTTTACCGGGTTTCTGACCCCATTGAATTGGACGCCGTTGTCGCTTTTATCCCACCACGCTCCCAATCAGCCTAGTTCTATCGGTTTACTTAACACGCTTCGTGTTAAGTCTAGCAAGAAAAAAGCTGGCCAAGCCGTGACTAGGGATATTATCGCCACACTTGTACATCACCTTATCAAGGTAGTTGCTAACAAAATGTGTTACAATTATTTACATAATTTAATTCGTTATGTTTTCGACATGTTCAATATTGTCACTCTTTTAATATTTTCTATTTACTGTATATTCTCTTTATATTTTTTATTCCATCTTTTTTTTATTTTTCCATTCTTTTTAAATTATATACAAGTAAATCATTTGATTTGCTATTCATCCTATCCAATACCTAGAGAGAAAACTTGCTTTAATATTTTTATTTGAAAATTCAAGGGAGTCGTATAGAACTTGGCCCCATAGCTCAGTTGGTAGAGTTTGCGAACGGTATTATCAGTGTAGGTCTTGGAATTCCGACGTGGAATTATGTTTATCGCTCTAACATTATTTGTCTTTAATTATCATAAGTGGGGGGGTTTCTTCATTCCAAAATTTCAAACTGGGAAAATCACTTAAACCCTCACTCTAGAAGTTCGACAATCCCTCTGAACCAGTGCAGATCAGAAAATGGTTTCTTAAACGCAAGCTTTATAAAAG